CTCTACCACTGAGCCACCTTCCCAGCCCTCTTAAATAATTTTTTATTCAGATTGATTACATAAATTTCACAAATTTCACAGTATTGTGGGATAGTGATACTTAAAAAGTCACAAACACAATTTAACCTTCACAAGGCAAATTATCATTATCATGGTCTATAAAGTTTGTGAATTCTATGAGCAACAAACTTTTATATCAATACTATTACTTACACAATAAAGTATATGCTAACCATACTACTTTTTCTTTTGAGAAATTATCTGTTATTCTAGTATAAACTACAGAACATTAACGAAACTCTCTAAGATGCTTACCTATGTAAGAGTTAACTCTACTACAGTCAATTAAGAGAAGAACAGACTGAAATGCACAAACCTTGTGGAGGTATGGCCATATTGACATTATCACAATAGAAAACCCTGTGATAGGGAAAACTTCATTAGTTATGACAATAGAATTGCTACTATAGATACGATTTTTAAAAGTATATTTAAAAATATTCTGAACCTATAAATACACACATACAAATTGCCTAACTTATAAAGAAAATGATTTTAGTTAATAGAAGAAAATACCAAATACAAAACAGCAGAAAAGGTCAGATAAATTGATGGTAGGTGAAATGAACCCCAAGATAAGTATTCAAATGTTTTTGCTTTCATGCAATTGTTTCTAACATATTTATAAGATGATTTCTTTGTTGCTTTGTATGTCCCTCCCCCACGGTATAACCCCTGCTTTCACTGTATTTGATTTTGGTATAATTTGTGGAGGGGAAGGGCAAAAACAAATCGTTTAAATAGGGATACAGGTGGACCCATGAGATGTACACGTCCTTATGTTGAAAAACGAACTTTACAACTTTGGCGAGGGGTGAGGGGGGGGGGATGGGAAGGGGAAACAAAGGAGGAGGCAACAATGCTTGATAAGAAATGTACTCATTATCTTGCCCATGTAATTGTAACCCCTCTGTATGGTATTTTCACAATTAAAAAAAAAAAAAAAACTCTATAAAGACTGATATACTAAGCCAGGCCCTGGTGGCTCATGACTATTATAATCCTAGCTACTTAGAAGGCTGGGATCTGAGGATCATGGTTCAAAGCCAGCCTGGGCAGGAAAGTCTGTGAGACTCTTATATCCAATTAACCACCAGAAAACCAGAAATGGCACTGTGGCTCAAAGTAGTAGAACCCTACCCTTGAGCATAAAGAACTCTGGGATAGCATCTAGGAACTGAGTTCAAGCCCCATGACCAATAAAAAAATAAAAATTAAAAAATTAAAAGCCAGTGTAGAGGCTCATACTTTTATCCTAGTTACTTAGAAGGCCAAGACTGGGATGACTGAAGTTCAAGGACAGTCCAGGCAAAATGTTCTCAAGATCCCATGTGAACAGTAAAAAACTGAAAATGGTGCTCTATGACTCCTTCCAGCTTCATGGGAAGCATACATAGCAGCATTGTAATCCTGGCCAGCCCAAACAAAATGTGAATCCCCACTTGAAAAATAGCAAAAAGGACTAGAGGCATGGCTCCTGCGGTACAGTGCCTAGCAATGACCAGGCACTGTAGCCTCCTCTAAGTCTGGAGTTCAAACTCAAATACTGCCCAAACAAAAACAGGACAGAAGCCACAGTCTAGATCTGACAGCAGACAGAAGCCAAGCCGCTGCTCCCAGGAGAAGTGACAGGAAGCTAGATGGTATCACTTCATAGGACAGTAACTCTCAGATCAGATCAGTTGGTTATTAACAAGTTACCAGAAAAGGTAGCAAACACACATCACACTGGCTCCTTAATAAAAGAAGTTCTTGGGAGAATAACTTAAGGATGTAACCATTTAGGTGGATATTTGTCAGAAGAAACATCTTTTTGAGGAGCAAGCTAGGTCCTATTTCACTGCATTTTACAAAGTAGTTGTGTAGTTGTTTATACTTATTAACAAAAGCAGTGGCCTAATGGATGGATCATGAATACAGTGTACTACTATTTAGCTTTATAAAGGAAATTCTAACACTGGTAAACTTTAAGGACATTATGAGAAATGATATAAGCTAGTCACAAAAAAAGTAAAAGATTTATGATTCCATTTTTGTGGTCAAATTCATAGAAATGGAAAGTAGGATAGTGTTTGCCAGGGTTGGGAAAGGAGGAAGTAAGGAGTTAATTTGATTATAATGTTTCAGTTTTGAGAGATGAAAGGTTTTATAGATTATATAGCAATGTTAATATATTTAGTACTACTGAACTAAGATATTAAATGAGTAAAGAACATTTTATAATTTTTTAAATGTGTAATTTCTAAAACTTACCTACACTGCTGAGAAACATAGTAAGATATAGAACCCTAATAGATCTCCACCGGCTCTTATAGTGTTCTTCAGTTTCTGTAACATCCCATTCTCTAGATACAAAGAAAAAGGTAATACAGGTGAGCATCAACAATTGAAAATCCAAAATACACTTAAATCTGAAACTTTTTCAGTAATGATACTCTAAATGGAAAATTCTACACCTAATCTTACATGACAAGTAGTCAAAACACAAATGTACCCAGGCCAGTGGCTCACACTTGTAATTCCAGCAAGTCAGGAGGCTGAGATCTGAGGATCACAGTTCAAAGACAGCCCAAGCAGGAAAGTCCATGAAACTCTTATCTCCAATTAACCATCAGAAAACTGGAAGTGGCACTGTGGCTCAAGTGGTAGAGCACTAGCCTTGAATTGAAGAACTCAAGCACTGCACCCAGGCCCAGAGTTCGAGGCCCATGACCACCACCACCAAAAAAAAAAAAATATTGTATAGAATTATCTTCATATATTCCAAAATTGGGAAAATCCAAAGTCTGAAACACTTTTGTTTCTAAGCACCTTAAATTTATAAGGTTGAATATACATGTTGAATATAAATGTTTAAAGCATTTTTATATAGTAATTTTTTCTTCTCTAAAATCATTAAAATGAAGCTGGTAGGGCTGGGAAGGTGGCTCAGTGGTAGAGCGCTTGCTTTGCATGCCTGAGGCCCTGGGTTCCATTCCTTAGCACCACATAAGCAAAAAGAAAAAAGCCGGAAGTGGCGCTGTGGCTCAAGTGGTAGAGCGCTAGCCTTGAGCTGAAGAGCTGAGCGACAGCGCCCAGGCCCAGAGTTCAGGCCCCATGACCGGACCCAAAAAAAAAAAAAAAAATGAAGCTGGTAACTCCTGGCTCAGGCTGTAATCCTAGCTACCATGGAGGCTGAGAAATGAAGATCATGGTTCAAAGCCAGCTCAGGCAGGGAAGATTCTTATCTCCAACTAGCCACCAAAAAGCTGACAGTGAAACTGCAGCTCAAGTGGCAGAGAGCTAGCTTTGAGTACAAAAGCTCTGAGACAGTGCCTAGCCTTGAGTTCAAGCCCCAGGACTGGCACGGAATAAACCATACGACAGGCTCATCAATAATACGTTCTTTTCTGCTACACTAGTTCATCTCTGAGTAAGATTTTTTTTAAACGTTTTCACAGATTGCATTTGTGTGTCATTGTATACAATACTTGAAAGACACAAGATGGCTTTATAAAGAAAAGACAATCTGGGAAGGTGGCTCGGAGGTAGAGTGATTGCTCAGCATGCATGAAGCCTGGGCTCCATTCCTCAGTACCAGACACGGAAAAAGCCGGAAGTGGCGCTGTGGAAGAGCACTAGTCTTGAGTGAAAAAAGCTCAGGGACAGTGTCCAGGCCCTGAGTTCAAGCCCCAGGACTGGCAACAAAGAAAAGAAGAACCGTTCGATCCTGTCTGGTCTCACTTTAAGGCACACACACAAAACAAGTACATAACTGGGAGAAAGCCAGGGAGGGATGGGATTGTCCAGAAAGAAGTGCCCTCGTCACCTGACTTCTGTAACCCTAACCCTCCTACACATTACGTTTCTTTTTACTTTGCTGGTCCTGGGACGTGAACTCAGGCCCGGCGCGGCCCCTGAGCTCCTTGGCCGGGCTAGCGCTCTTCCACGTGAGGCACAGCGCCACTAATCGGAGAGAAGCGTCTCCCGGGCTTGCCGGGCTGGTTTTGAACCCTGATCTTCAGACTCGGCGCCCGAGCTGCTAGGGTCACGGGTGCCGGCGCGCCGGCGGCCCCGCGGCTCCGCGCGCGCGTCCGGGCGGATCCCGCCCACGGGGCGGCGCGCGCGTGCGCGTCGGGGCCCGGGCTCGCGCTCCCCGCTCACGGCCCTGGCGGGGCCCCGCGGCTCCGCGCGCGCGTCCGGGCGGATCCCGCCCACGGGGCGGCGCGCGCGTGCGCGTCGGGGCCGGGCTCGCGCTCCCCGCTCACGGCCCTGGCGGGGCCCCGCGGCCCCGCGCGCGCGTCCGGGCGGATCCCGCCCACGGGGCGGCGCGCGCGTGCGCGTCGGGGCCCGGGCTCGCGCTCCCCGCTCACGGCCCTGGCGGGGCCCCGCGGCCGCCGCAGCGCCCGCGCCGGGCGCGGCATGCCCGGGGTCCGTGCAGACTCATGCAAATGCAGACGGTCAGCGCCCCGTCGGCCAGGCTGCTGTGGCCCCGCACGCGGGCGCGGCGCTCCCCGACCGCTCGCGGCCACCGCCGAGCCGGAGGCCCGGGCTGCGCGGCGCTCCCGCGGCCCCCCGCCGGGCGGCGAGCAGCCTGTCTACACCGTGCGGGAGGGCGAGGGGCGCCGGGGGACCGGGCACGGACGCCGGCGCCCGCTCACCTGCTTCCGGCTCTGAGGTGGCCTAAGAGCGGTTCCCGCTCCGCCTCAGTTCCCAGGCCCGCCATAGCTTCGGCCCCCGCGAGGTGGCGCGCGCAACTCTCGCGACACTTGCTTGCAGCTACTTCCGACGGCCTGAAGCTGTCAAAACAGGCGTGCAGCTGCGCGTGCGCAACGAAGCCAGCTACTACCGGAAGTGGGCGGTTCCTGCCGAAAGGGGCGGGACGCTGTGCTCCCGGCGGCGTCCAACCGTTGCGTCCTCAGCCGTCGGCCGAGGCTGCGCGGGAGGGCGAGCGGGGAGCCCGGCGGGCGCCGGACGGCCTCCGAGCCCTGCGCTGTATCTGCCCTGCCCGCCGCCCGCCTCCGAGGGCGCCCCGGGAAGTGCGCCGTCCGCCGCGCGGCCGGTGAGTAGCGGGCCGCCCGCCGCTGCGTGCGTGTCGGCGGCGGGACGGGGCACGGGCCCGGCCGGAGGGTCGGAGCCGGGTCCGGTACCGCGCCGGGCGGTGGCTGCGCCCGACAAGGGCAGGTGGAGGGCGCCGCGGCCCCGGGGACCGGGCCGGGAACCGGGCCCCTCCGCCTCGGAGCTGCCGGCCCCAGCCCTGCACCAGCCCCGGGCAGAGGTCACTAAAGGGCACGGCCGAGCCGCCGCGGCTCCCCGGTCCTGGCCGAGGCCGCCGCCGCGGCGGGGATGCGGGGCCGGCGATGCGGGGCCGGCGGAGGTCCTGACGCCAGGCCCGGCGGGGCGGGGCGGGGAGGCGGGGCCGGCGATGCGGGGCCGGCGGAGGTCCTGACGCCAGGCCCGGCGGGGCGGGGCGGGGAGGCGGGGCCGGCGGAGGTCCTGACGCCAGGCCCGGCGGGGCGGGGCGGGGAGGCGGGGCCGGCGGAGGTCCTGACGCCAGGCCCGGCGGGGCGGGGCGGGGAGGCGGGGCCGGCGGAGGTCCTGACGCCAGGCCCGGCCTGGCGGGGCGCAGGCTCGCAGTCAGAGGTCAGGGCTCTGCCAGCTCCCTGGGGTCCGGAGATGTGTGAGTTAGGCCTTTTTTCCTTTCTCTCCCATGAGTTCCTCCGGAGAGGTTACCTTCCCAAGACCCAGGCCGGTGGGACTGGCAGCGCGGAGGCCGAGCTGGTGTCGGTGAGTCCTGTTGTAGGCTGGTTGGGAGGTTGTGGAGTTGCTGTCATTGCTGTGTTGGCCATTTTGCCTTTACCTGAGGACCGAATCAGGCTCCTTCTTTGGCCAGTAGCGAAACTTGAAATGTAGTTTGTGTTCAGAATTGTCTTCTGAAATCCAGGCCTGTCTTGTCAATTAAGTTGTTACGACTTAAAAGAACATGTAAGATGCAAGCCGGGCACCGTGGCCCTGGCCTCCATCCTAGACACCTCGGGAGGCTGATTTCTGAGGGTCACAGTGTGAAGCTCACTCAGGCAGAAAACTGAGGCTCTTATCTCCAGTCAACTACTAAAGAAAGAAAAACCCACAAGTGGAGCTGTGGCTCAGTGGTAGAGTGAGAAGCCCAGCAACAGGGACCCTGAGTTCAAGCCCTACAACACCCTTTCTCCTAAAGAAAAAAGGTACATAGATGGACACTTTTAGCCATAATCTTGCTTTCCACTTTTAATCCCTGGAGGCTAGCACAGCTAGAGCTCTACCACTTGAACCACAGGGCCACTTGTGCCTTTTTATGCTTTTGTGGTACTGAGGAATCAAACCCAGGGCCTCATGCATGCAAGGCAAGCACTCTACACACTGAGCCACCTTCCCAGCCCCAAGCCTAGGACTCTTGACTGTTGAGTCTGTTCTTTTTTGTTTGTTTGTTTGTTTGTTTGGTCAGTCATGGGGCCTGAACTCTGGGCCAGGGTGCTGTACCTCAGCTCTTTAGCTCAAGGCTAGCACTCTACCACTTGAGCCATAGTTCCACTTCCAGGAATTTTTTTGCTTATGTGATGCCGAGGAACTGACCCAAGTCCTCATGCATGCAAGGCAAGCCCTCTACCACTGAGCCACCTTCCCAGCCCGTTGAATCTGTTCTTATTACCAGGTTTCTTGCAAAAAGAATTGCAGAAAACTGGGTGCTGTTAGCTCACACTGCTCAAGAGGCCGAAGCTGAGGTCTGAAGATCACTGCTGTAAGCCGGCCAGCACAGGAAAGTCTGTAACTTTCATTTCCAGTCAACCAGCAAAAAGCTGAAAGTGAGGCTGTGGCTCATGTGGTACTCATTATCCTTGAGCAAAAGAGCTAAGGGATGGTGCTCAGCCTCCGGAGTACCAGCACAAAAGAAGACTCTATTCCCATGTTTTCTAAAATGTCATAACATGTATTCAATTTTATGTAAACAAAATAATTTGCTACTGCATATGTATTAAGACAAGTATTTATAGGTAAGGTGGCTTATTCCTGGTCACACTGTGTGCCTTCAAGTTATATCTTTAAATCATAAAACTCATTGAGTCTGTGTACGACTTGTGAAATCTAAGCTCTTAAGTATTTCTTAGGAATACACAAATAGCATCCAGAAGAGGAAATGTTAGAAAAGGCAGTCATTTAAAAAAAAAAAGCAGTAATTTTTAAATAGCTTATCATAAAGAAAAGCTAAATTTGCAGAGTAGGTTGTTTCCTGGATGTTCTTACAGGACACAGGAGTCTACTAACTTGTGATTAGATGATACTTGTCTGGAAGGCTACCCAGAGTAGATAACCACACTGCTTACAAACTTCCTGCTTGTTTTTTTTTAATTTAATTTAATTTTATTTGTGAACATACTGTACAGAGGGGTTACAATTACATGGGCAGGATAATGCGTACATTTCTTACCAAGCATTGCAGCCTCCTCCTTTGGTTTACCCTTCACATCCCTTCCCAGCCTCCCCCCCCCCCCCCATCCCAATCCTTCTCCTTCCTCTCCAGTGTGAGAGTAAAAGGAATATACTTGTTACACAAAGATAGATTCTTAACTGTATATCTGAAGCATTTTAACCCCTTCTTAGCTGCTTAAATTTATGTTGCAGTGTCTTTGGAGATGAAGGGAAAAGTACATTGAGATTTCTTTTTTATTTCACTTATGCCTTGCCTGGTGGGGGAGGGAAGAGAGAAAGAAGTCCAGAAAATAGCAAGTTTGGTTACTTAGCTGCTACCAGAGAGATAGGAGATAATAATACCAGATGACATAATAGGTCTTGGTGTCACTGTAAAAATAGAGCTTATTTCTAGGAAAGATATTTTATACCTTGGCACTGTGTTAGCACTTCTATTTTTGTTTTGCTTTGTTTTACTCTTTCATATTGCGTATTTAAAACATCTATGTCCATTTGGCTTGGTATTTCAGAAAGGAACCTGATAAACAGAAGCTGTTGGGTGTCAGTCTAGCTTGACATAGGCATAGAAGGTGCTTCTGACTCTTGTGGCCTAATATACAGTGAATCAAAGTAATTTGGGACAATTTTCTAGAGTAGGGCTAAAAATAATGACTAAACAATTTAGGCACATAATAGATACAGAACATTATATTTACTTATTTATTTGGTCATGGGGCCTGAACTCTGGGCCTGTCCTTCAGCTCTTCAGCCCAAGGTTAGCACTCTACCACTTGAGCCACAGTGCCACCTCCGGCTTTTTTTTTTTTTCTTTTTTGGCTTATGTGGTGCTGAGGAATCGAACCCAGGGCCTCATGCATGCAAGGCAAGCACTCTACCACTGAGCCACCTTCCCAGCTCCTATAATATATTTATTAGCAGGTTTATTATTCTTAGATTTGTTTCTCTTGCAGCTTGCTACATCAATATGTCTGTCTCTAGTTTTATCTACTGTCAAGAGGGTTGAAGTTTAGTCTCAGTGGTACAAGCTATGGTCCCAGCTAACTTGAGGTAGGAGGATTATGATCCAGGACTGGCACAGGCAAAAACACAAGACCTTATATGAAAAATAAACAGAAGCACTGAAACAAAAATGACTGGAGTCCAGGCTTAAGTAGTAGAGCACTTGCCAAGCAAATATGAGACTCAAGTTCAGTCTCAGTACTACCAAAATAAGAGTTTTAAGAAAATAAAATATTTTATGAGCAGCATGTTGCTTTCCCTTTTTACTGTAAAATATAAGTGTTGGATTTTTAAATTTAATTTTATGTGCTTACTGTGCTTAATGCCATGGGTATTACAAAGGAAAACGTTGACCCTGAAAAGTAAGTGGCCTATAATACCTGCAAAAACAGATGAAATCCTGTAAAGACATGCTACTGTTTTGCAGTTTAATATACACAAAAATTGCATCAGCTATATGGATATTTTAAGGTTTTTTTTTGGGGGGGGGGTCCAGTTGTGGGCCCTGAACTCTGGGCCTGGGCGCTGTCCCTCAGCTCTTCAGCTCAAGGCTAGCGCTCTACCACTTGAGCAACAGTGCTACTTCTGGCTTTTTTCTTTTTGCTTATGTGGTGCTGAGGAATCAAACCAAGGGCCTCAGGCATGCAAGGCAAGCGCTCTACCACTGAGCCACCTTCCCAGCCCCGGATATTTTAAGTTTTAAAAGTTCCTTAAACCGGGTGCCAGCGGCTCACGCCTGTAATTCTAGCTACTCAGGAGGCTGAGATCTGAGGATGGCAGTTCAAAGCCAACCTGGGCAGAAAAGTCCTTGAGACTCTTACCCAATTAACCACCAGAAAAGGAGAAGTAGTGCTGTGGTTCAAAGTGACCTTGAGTGAAAGAGCTCAGGGACAGCACCCAGGTCCTGAGTTCAAGACCCACAACCAACCAAAAAAAAAAAAAAAGCAAAATAATCATTATTCTGTTTCTTAGTGATATCAAAATACTCAAGAAAACTGACTTAAGTAAAGGTTTGTACTGGCTGACAATTTCAGAGGGTTTTTGTTGTTCTTTTAGTTTTGTTTTTTTGTTTGTTTGTTTATTTGTTTTGCCAGTCCTGGGCTTTAACTAGGGCCCTGAGCACTGTCCCTGAGCTTCTTGCTCGAGGCTAGCACTCTACCGCTTGAGCCACAGCACCACTTCTAGCCTTTTCTGTTTATGTGGTGCTAAGGAATTGAACCCAGGGCTTTGTGCATGCTAGGCAAGCACTCTACCAGTAAGCCACCTTCCCAGCCCCTCAGAAGTTTTAATCCATGCTCTTTTGACCACTTTGTTTTGGCAGTCAGGTAAGCCAGAATATCCTGACTGGAAGTATGTGACAGAGAAAGTCTTTTTTTTTGGGGGGGGTGGGGGGGAGAGGGGTCCGGTCATGGGGCCTGAACTCTGGGCCTGGGCGCTGTCCCTCAGCTCTTCAGCTCAAGGCTAGCGCTCTACCACTTGAAACACAACGCCACTTCCGGCTTTTTTCTTTTTTCTTATGTGGTGCTGAGGAATTGAACCCAGGGCCTCATGTATGCAAGGCAAGTGCTCTACCACTGAGCCACCTTCCCAGCCCCAGAGAAAGTTTTTTTACCTTCCATCCCCTGGAAAGGGTGGAGTATCCCAGTATCACCCATATATATTTAAAGAAAGGGTTTCTTGTTTGGAATATATAACACTAGTCAGAATTTTGTCAAAGAATGAACTAACCATTTCCACCCCAGCTGGATGTGTTTCAGTCTGATAGCTACCTCAAGTCACTGCAGAATCCCAAGTTCAAGGTACAGTCCTCTTGATGCCACTACCTCAGGTCCCAGTCACTCCGGAGTCTCCATGCCTCTAGAATGGTAACTTCTGAGTAGCTTTAACCTCAAATTTAAAGGTTCTTAAATCCCGAGTGGGTCAGTAATTTGCTAGAAGACTCATAGAGTTGAGGGAATCTATGCACAGTATTTAAAATCACTATCATATATTATAAAGGGTACAATTCAGAAACAGCCAAATGAGGAGACACCTCTTGAGATCAGCAGTGTGGAGTTGCACAGGCCCCTTCCTACAGTCTCTTACTAAAGGACTCTCCCTGTAGGGTGTGGCTCAAGTGGTAGTGGATAAGGGAAGGTTACTGTTTAATAGGGTGTACACAGGTTGTTTTTTTTTTTGGTCCAGAGTTCAGGTTTGTTTGTTTGGTGCCAGTCCTAGGGATTGAATGCAGAGCCTGGGCACTATCCCTGAGCTTTTGTGCTCAATACTAGCACATAGTTACTTCTAGCTTTTTGATCTATATGGTCTGAGCCATACTTCCTGTTGTTTTGTTTCTTTTTTTGTCAGCCGTGGGGCTAAGCTCTGGGCCTGGGCACTATCACTCAGCTCTTCAGCTCAAGGCTAACACCCTACCAGTTGAGCTACAGCCAAAAAGCCACTTCCGGCTTTTTTTCTGCTTATGTGGTGCTGAGGAATCGAATCCAGGGTCTCATGCATGTGAGGCGAACACTCTATGACTGAGCCACCTTCCCAGCCCCTTGTTTTGTTTCTTTTTGCTTATTTTTCTAATAGAGTCTCACTTTTTGCCTGGATTGCAATCCTCTTATGTACTCTCCTGAGTAACTGGGGGGTTACTATGTGGTACCATTTATTTATTTATTTGGTTGGTCATGGGGTTTGAACTCTGAGCCTGGGCACTGTCCCTGAGCTCTTCAGCTCTAGGCTAGTGCACTACCATTTGAGCCACAATGCCATGTCCAGTTTTCTGGTAGCTAATTGGAGATAAGAGCCTCATGGACTTTCCTGCCTAGGCTGGCTTTGAACCGTGATCCTCAAATCTCAGCCTCCTGAGTAGCTAGGATGACAGGCATAAGCCACTAGTACTGGATGTTCTTCCATTTCTGTGCCCTCCATTATTCCCTAAAGACAGATAAAGGAACAGACAAGGCAAAAAGAAAAAGAAGGGCTCACTTCGGCAGCACATATACTAAATTGGAATGATACAGAGAAGATTAGCATGGCCCCTGTGCAAGGATGACAAGTAAATTTGTGCAGTATTCTATACTAAAAGAAAAAGAAAACAACAAAGATAAAACCTTTTGTTCCCATTTTCTGGAGTTACTTTCTATTATTATTTTGTATGGTCAGATGCGCATAGGTATTGAAGCTCCTCCTATAAGAGTAACCTCCTTGGACTGGGAAGGTGGCTTAGTGGTAGAGTGCTTGCCTAGCATGCATGAAGCCCTGGGCTCCATTCCTCAGTACCACATACACAGAAAAAGCCAGAGGTAGCACTGTGGCTCAAGTGGTAGGGTACTGGCCTTGAGTGAAAACAAGCTCAGGGACAATGCCCTGACCCTGAGTTCAAGCCCAGGACTGGCAAAAACAAAACAAACAAAAAAGATAAATGGTATACAAATAGCAGCACTGCTTTTGCTTTTTATTCACTGTTATAGAGTCAGAGTTGTATAGAGGATCTAGAGCTCTGTGCCTAGAATTAATCTAGGTCTGTTTCATACTACTGATAGGGGACTTGGGTGAATCACCTGTTGTCTGTATCTCAAGTTCCTCTTCTGTACAGCTGGGGCACTACATCTTTCTCAGGGTTGTTGGAAGGTCTAAATGAGAGAGAGAAGAGAGAGAGAGTGAGAGTGTTACAGCTTTTTAAAATAGTGCCTGGCTGACAATATAAAGTACTAGGTAAGTATCACTTAGTGTTGCCACGTAGTGTTATCCCTTTATATCGTCCAACAAATTGTAGGTGCTTATACTGAGAATGGAAAGATGATGCTCTACCCAGTTCACTGCAATTTGAGGCTCTTCATTTTCTTTTCTTTTTCATCCCAATTTGTTTTTTTGCTAAATTCTGTATGTTGTTTTCAGAGAATAAATTCAAGTATTTACTCTCAATCTTTTAATTTATCTGATATTTAGAGGTGGTTAGAAAGTTGACCTGCTGCCTTTATTGAACAAATACATTTTAAAGTCATTTAAAATTCTTCTTCCAGATGGTATTTGCTACTGATGGGTGTAAGCAAGTTAGATGTTCTATACCGTAGACTTCTCCTCACAAAACTTTTTATCAGAGGATGGGGAAGGCCAGAGGATCTCAAAAGGTAATTTTTTTACTTGAATACTTGTTTTGAATTTATTGCTTTAGTAAACATTTTAGATTTTAATTTAGGTACAGAATCCGTTATCCTTAAGTAAAAAATGATTGTTCAGGAAATTAAGCATTGCACTATGTAAAAAATATGATTCCTTCTTTCTTTTTTTCTTTTTGATTTTAGTAACATATGATGGGCTATTAAAAAGGACAGTGATTTAAAATAAACACAAACTGGATTTTTAAATTCATCATTTTTTTCTTTTGGTCAGGCCTGGGCACGTGAGCGATGGCACCCAGCAAATTCAGCATTATTTAACTAACTAGAATTGTACATTGTTTCTAAGCACTGACTTTTCTGCAGTACCTTTTATGTGTAATGACTGTAAAACTGGAATGTTCTATAGCTCATGGGAAAAAAAAGCAAATTAATTTTCAGGACTGGTTCCTTTGAATTTCATCTAAAATGTGCTAATTACTGTTGGACAATATCATATCTTATTTTTCTAAGATTAGTGTTTAGTTTGAAAAAATCTTAATAGCCTACTCTTTAATGATGATAATTAAGCTTTAATATGACTCATAAACTGTATTTGTTCATTTTTGTCACTATCAGTCTATACATTCAATAAAATGAGTGGTATAAAAGTGAATTTTTTTCCCCTTTGTCTCTTTTCTATAATAGACTCTTTGAATTCAGAAAGATAATTGGAAATCGAGAAAGATGCCAGAATCTGGTTTCAAGTGATTATCCAGTATACATTGATAAGGTATTCAAATGAAAAAAATGCATGTGTAGAAATTTTGGTTTAACATAGATATATGCCAGGAATAGATTGAATGTCAGAGTATAACAAACAGTAACCCCCAAGACACTAGTGCACTGGATGTTTTTCATTTAATATTTAAAGAATGCTATTTGTACCCTAACCAGATTTTTTTGTGTGTATGTGTGCTAGGTTTGGGGCTTGAACTCAAAGTCTGGGCACTGTCTCTGAGATTTTTTGCTCAAGGAGAGCACTGGCACTAGAACCATAGCTGTACTTCCAACATTTTATTGGTTACTTGGAGATAAGAGTCTTATGGTCTTTTTTGCCAGCTTCGGCTTCAACTTGTGATCCTCAGATTTTAGCCTCTTGAGTAGGTAGGAGTACAGGCATGAACCACTCTCACCCAGCACCTAGATATTTTTAATAACTAAATATATACATATTAGGCTGGATCTTTCTTAGTCTCATTTTGTGTCCATAGGCTCAAGAGGGTTAAAATAAATTATTCAATATTAGAGAAGAATATTAAGGAATAGTATTGAAATATTGCAGGGGAATGATGTATCTAGTTGATGAGTTTGCACATAGGAATTATTTTCAAGGCAAAAAAAAGGCAGGGAAAAAGTATTATGAAATAGTTAATTGCTAAGAGAATGGTAGGAACAGAATGCTATAAAATTACATATAGAGATGAGACTTCTCATATTATTTCATAAGCAACCAATTTTTTTCTGTAATCTATGGTTTTCTGTAACTGGATCTTTGGTAACACCGTTGGAAGCCACGCAGATGGCTGGACTTCATACATCCCTCACTGACTTGTAACCACAGTAACTACTTGCATGTCTTATTTATCAAATAGCTTTAGAAGGTTTTGTTTTTCAAAAGACTGCATACTAGCTGGGCACCAGTGGCTCACACCTGTAATCCTAGCTACTCAGGAGGCTGAGATCTAAGGATCACAGTTCAAACCCAGACCCCAGCCTAGGCAGGAAAGTCCTTGAGATTCTTATCTTCAATAAACCACTAGAAAACCAGAAGTGGTATTGTGGCCCAAGCAGTAGAGCGCTCGCCTTGAGCTGAAGAGTACAAGGACAACACCCAGGCCCAGAGTTCAAGACCCACTACTGACAAGAAAAAAAAAATATTTGCATACTAAAACTAAAATATTGTCCTTGAAAATTCTGTATCAAAACTTTTGTTTCTGTATCATCTGTATTTCAAATATTTTTCCTTTATTCTAATTTTGGTAAATATTTCTATTTTTTTGTTTTCCTTTCCCTTTCCTTTTTTTTCTTAACTAAAATATAGACGTTTAAAGTGAAACCGTAACAAATAAAAATCAAAACTCTCCTTTAGTCTCTGTCACTTTTTACTATTAATTCCTGTTCTTTCAGGGAGTGCTGTTAATTTTTCTGAGATCAGATGAGATCAGGCATGTTCAGGGTGCCATGGCCATGGAGACTCAATACATCTTATAGATGTCTCTTCTGGCTTAAAAAACAAAAAACCAAACTTAGATATCAAAGCAGGGGACCAGTGGCTCTTGCATGTATTTTTAGTTACTCAGGGGTGATATCTGAGGATCACAGTTCAAAGCCAGCCTGGGAGACAAATCTGTGAAACTCAAGCCTTAGTATCTTCAATAAAAACAAAAAAATATCATTTACATATCTAAATTTACCTTTTTTTTTCTTTTGTGCCAGTTCTGAGGCTTGAACTCAGGGCCTGGGTTCTGTCCCTGAGCTTTTTTGCTCATGGATAGTGTTCTGTTGTACCTACCACTTGAGCCACAGCTTCACTTCTGGCATTTGAGTGTTTAATTGAAGATAAGCGTCTAATGGACTTTCTTGCCCAGAGTGGCTTCTATCCTCAAATCTCAGCCTCCTGAGTAGCTAGGGTTGTTGGTGGTGGTGGTTGTGGGACTGGAACAAGGGGCTGGGTGCTAGAACAAGGGTCCTGGACCCTTTATGTGCTCAAGGCTAGTGCTCTACTACTTCAGCAGTTAATTGAAGATAAGAGTCTCACAAGGACTTTTCTGTTGGCTTCAAAAGGCAATCTTCAGATCTCAACCTCCTGAGTAGGATTACAGGCATGAGGCACCAGCACCCTGCTGTTTATTTTTTGTGGTTATTGGTGCTTATTTGTCCCATTGCTTTTGTTGTTTTTTTTTTTTTTTTTTTTTTGGGTCCGGTCATGGGGCCTGAACTCTGGGTCTGGGCATTGTCCCTCAGCTCTTCAGCTCAAGGCGAGCGCTCTACCACTTGAGCCACAGCGCCACTTTCCAGCTTTTTCTTTTTGCTTATGTGGTGCTGAGGAATCGAACCCAGGGCCTCAGGCATGCAAGGCAAGCGCTCTACCACAGAGCCACTTTTTTCCAGCCCTGCTTTTAGTATTGTTTTATTGGTTAGTTTTTCCTCTCTTTTTGAGGTAACATCTCACCATAACCCAGTGTGGTCTCTAACTCATTATCTTCCTGCTTAAACTTGCAACATCTGGGCTTTCAAAACCATATACTACATAAAGCTACAAATTGCCTTTTTAATACATAGAAATCATGTTTTTCCTTAATTTGTTGACAATAAGACATTACATCAATACATTGCCCAACGTTCAACCACTGTAACATAGTTGATATCGTCTTATTTGCGTGTGGCCAATTATGATTGCAATTATAAATCATTCTTAGGATTATTTTTATATTTTTTAATGCTATTAAGTTCTCTTAACTAGTATTTTATCTTGGGCTATTATCTGTCAATGTATGAATTTGAGTTATTGTTTATTTTCCAAACTAGATTGTAGTTAAGAGTGTGTAAGGAAGCCAGGCACACCAGTGGCTCATGTCTGTAATCCTAGCTATTCAGGAGGCTGAGATTTGAGGGTCGAGGTTCAAAGCCAGCCAGAACAGGACTCCTATCTACAATTAACCACCAGAAAACTGGAAGTGACACTGTGGCTCAAGTGGTAGAGTGCTAGCCTTGAGCTGAAGAGCATAGGAACAGGGCCTAGGCCCAGAGTTGAAGCCCCATGACTGACAAAAAGAAAAGTGTATAAAGAAAATATAAAGCATGTATGTAGAAGCAATGTCTTTTGAAAGCAAAGTAAGACTAAAAGGAAACCATCGTATGTACTGAAAATAGATTTTAGGGAAAAAAATTTTTAAATGGAAATAGATGTATACCTAAAGTGATAGATTGCCATCCTTGAGCAAAAACTCAATCTAGATAGGAAGGCCTTGAGTTTAAGCCTTCATACTGGCAAAATGAATAAATAAATAAAATTTTAGCCTAAAAAAAATTCTTTTTTAGAAAAAGTTCTATGATAAACCAAAGTGTATCCGTCTAATTGCATGGCTTTCTTTGTTTTAGATGGAGGAACAATCAGACTGTAAGATTTTAGACGGACACTTTGTTTCTCCCATGGCCCACTATGTGCCTGGCATCATGCCAATTGAATCTGTTATTGCAAGGTAAGAATATTTGTCTAGAAAGTTAAATTAGTAAGTGTGTGTATATGTGTATGTTTTCCTGGGGCTTGAACTCAGGGCCTGGGTGCTGTCCCACAGCTTTCTGGCGCAAGGCTAATGCTCTGCCACTTGAACCTCAGCTCTACTTTAGGCTTTTTGGTGATTAATTGGAGAAAAAAGTTTCACAAACTTTGTTGCATGAGCTGGCTTCAAACCATAGTCCTCAGATCTTAGCTTCCCGAGAAGCTAGGATTATACCAGTGCCCAGCTAAATTGTTTTAAATTTAAGTCAATGTTGAAAACAGGTTATCTCCCAATTTCTATTTCTTTCTTTCTTCTTTTCTTTTTTTTTTTTTTTGATCATGGGGCTTGAACTCTGGGCCTGGGCACTGTCCCTCATCTCTTTAGCTTTAGCGCTCTACCACTTGAGCCACAGCTCCACTTCTAGTTTTCTTGTGGTTTATTGGAGATGAGAGTCTCATGGACTTTCCTGCCAGAGCTGGCTTTGAACCATGATCCTCAGATCTCAGCCTTCTGAGTAGCTAGGATGTCAGGCCTGAGCCACCAATGCCTGGCAGCCATGAGATTCTTATCTTTAATTAACCAGCAAAAAGCCAGTGAGTCAGTAGCTCAAGTGGTGCTGTGCTGGCCTTGAGAAACAAAGCTTAGGGACAGTGCCCAGACCTAGAGTCTTAAGTTCCAGTATCTGCAGAAGTAAAAAAAAAACAAGTTACTTTACTGTTTCTTCCCATATATATTACTGATGATAAACATTTGCTAATTTTAATATGTTGTTTTTCCTTTAATGTTTTTTGTTTTTATTTTGTCAGCCCTGGGGCTTGAAGTAAAGGTCTGAGGGCTGTCCCTGAGTATTTTTGCTCAAGGCTAGCACTCTACCACTTGAGCCACAGCATCACTTCAGTTTTTTGGTAGCTATTTTTTGTCGATACGAGTCTCATGGTTTTACTACCCAAGCTGGCTTCAAACTGCAATCCTGAGATCTCAGCTTCCTAGGTAGCTAGGATTACAGAGCCACCAGCGCCTGGCTGTGATAGAAATTCTTACGTGTCAACTGCTAAGGAAATTAAAAAGAGAAAGAAATCTGTTAGCCAAATCATGTTGTAACATAGTCAGAAAGCTCAGATCCCTAGATCTCAATTCAAAGCTAGCCTGGGCAGAAAAGCCTATGAGATTCCATCCCCAAAATACCCAGGAAAAAGCCAGGCTGGAGGTGTGGCCAGAAGAGGTAGAACACCAAACAAACAAACAAATAAGCTCAATAAGCAAAAGACTCTGAGTTCAAGCCCTAGTACTGGCAAAAGAGAATCCATTTAGGAATATGAAAACATTTTGAAGATGGATAGGTAGTGATAGCTGGACAACAGAATGCATGCACTGAATACCCCTATATTGAACACTAAATGGTAAAAATGCTAACTTTTGTCATAAAAGTCACACAGGAAAATACATTAAATAAGAGAAAGAGAGCCTGGCACAAGTGGCTTATACCTATAGTCCTAGCTACTCAGGAGGCTGAGTAATGACAGTCAGGATTGAAGCCAGCCCTGGCATACAAATCTTCCAGATTCTTATTTCCCATTAACCAGCCAAAAGTCAGGAGAGCACTCAAGCGGTAGAGTGCCAGTTGTGACTGAAAAAGCCAAGCAAGAGCCTGAGTCCTTAAGTTCAGGCCCAGTACCACATATAGAGAAGAAAAGAGAAGATGACAAGTAGAGAAAACTGCTTACTTTTTTCACTTTTTTTTCACTTTATCTCCCAGTTCCAGAATTTTAATGAATCAGATTCTATCATATACTACAAGGGTAGAAATAGAAATAAATTATTTTGTAGTTACTTCAACAGCTTGTATAGCAAAACATTTTTCCTATGAAGAGAAACAGCAGATCTATGTCTTTAAGCTTATTAAAAATTCATCAAGCTGGGTGCCTGGTGCTCATGCTTGTAATCCTAACTACTCAGGAGACTGAGATCTGAGGATAGGGTTCAAAGCCAGCACAGGCAGGAAAGTCTGTGAGACTCTTATCTACAGTTAACCACCAAAAAACTGGACATGGTACAGTGGTTCAAGTGGTAGGGTGCTAGCCTTGAGCTGAAGAGCTCAGGGACAGCTCCCAGGCCCTGAGTTCAAGCCCCAGGACCAACTAAAAAAAAAAATTAAACATTTATAAAGTTTTGACATTAAACTAGGTAAAAAATTATGTATTAATGTCGAATTGAATATTTAATATACTGATAGCACATTTACTTTGTAGGTTTTAGTTTAATCAATCACAAATTAACTTAAAATTCTACATGATACTTTTTTTTTTTTTTTTTGCCAGTCCTGGGACTTGAACTCAGGGTTTGTGTTCTGTCCCTGAGCTTCTCATTGCTCAAGGCTAGCACTCTACCACTTGAGCCACAGTACCACTTCTGGGTTTTTCTGTTTATGTGGTGCTGAGGAATGGAACCTAGGCATGATGCATGCTAGGCAAGCCCTCTACCACTAAGCCACATTCCCAGCCTCTATACGACCCTTTTCTTGGAAATAACTTCAAACATTTTAAGATTTGAAGCTGGACATGATGGTATACACCTATAATACCTGCTCTCAGGAGGCCGAGGCAGGAATATCTTGAGCCTCAAAGCCGGCACTCTACCATTTGAGCCACGCTTACACTTTCAGGTTTGGGTGGTTAATTAGAGATAAGAGTCCCATGGGTTTTTGAGCTGGCTTTATTTTAAAGAGAATTTCATTTTAAAAATAGGTTTCAATTTATTGTACCTAAAGAATGGAACAGCAAACACAGACCTGTATGTATTCATCTTGCTGGAACAGGAGACCATGTAAGACTTAATTTTTATATTGCAATCCCCAAATAATTTGTTTGTTAAGTATTCTCCTTAACATATGTGGTGATTTGTGCTATTTAAGTATGTTATCTTTTTCTTTCCATAGCATTACTGGAGGAGAAGGACGCTAATGGCCCGTCCTATGATTAAAGAAGCCCGAATAGCTTCTTTGTTGTTAGAAAACCCATACTATATCCTTTTGTGACACTAAGAAACTTTTCCATATCAATGACATGTAATAACTTTTCCAAGCTAGTTAAATTCAGTCATTAGTGCAGAAAATATTTAAAAATCAAGAACAAAAAGGAATATAAGGTTATTTTACATCTCTTAAAATTCAGGGGACGGAGTCTGATGTGGGAGCTCATTCCTGTAATCCCATCTGCTCAGCAGGCTGGAGCACAATGATTATGTATGTATGTATGTATGTATTTATGTTTGAGCCAGCCTAGGCTGCACAGTGCACAGTGGCACCTTATTTAGGGAAAACAAACTAAGGATTAGACTTTAATTGTTCATAATAAAGATGCATTTATTTTTTTCTTCAGATACTTATGGATGTTAATTTTAATAGTGTTTGTTAGCAAAGAAACTCATGTTTTAAGTCCATGTGCAAAAAGGTGGAGGTTTAGAACAGTACTTAACTAATCTTCAAGATGACGTCAGACTATTCACTGAAGAACAGAAACTGATGCACAGCTATAAAGAAATGTTCAACATTGCTGGTAATAAAAGAAATGGGAATGTGGCTTAGTGGTAGAACGCTTGCCTAGCATGCTTCAAATGAAGCCCTGGGTTTGATTCCTCAGCACCACATAAACAGAAAAAAGCCAGAAGTGGTGCTGTGGCTCAAGTGTAGAGTGCTAGCCTTGAGCTGAAGAGCTAAGGGACAGCGTCCAGGCCCAGAGTTCAGGCCCCACGACCAGACCAAAAAAAACAAAAAAAAAATTACATAATAGAGAACAATTTAGTAAACTAGTTCCTAACACTGGAATTGTATTTATTATGTTTATTGCTCTATTTCTGACCACTTTTGTGATCTCTCAGACCTGTTATTTACCATTTCTGTACCTGTTTTCTCATTGATAAAAGAGAATCATCTCTTAAGTTATTCAGAACATTAAATACTATCTAGAAAATTCTTAGTAAATATTAGACATTCAAGGAGTTTATGTGGCTATTTTAAAAGTTGCAATGTGTGAAAAGAATGATTTAAAAGCAGGATATAAAACTGTATGGTGTCGGTGGTAGCATGTGTGCTTAGCATACAGCACCACAGCCATGGGCAAACAGGCCACACAGGCAGCAGCCAGTGGTTTTAATCCCTAGCACCAAAAACAAAATCAGACCATAGTGCCTGGTGTAAGTATGCAGCAATTGAAAACAAAACTTGCGTACAAGGGAAATACTGGGGAGAAATACACAAATGTATGAATATTATTGTATATAAAATAGTTTTCTAATTTTCTTTATTTCCTCCTTTAATAAACATAATTGCATAAACTATATCAATAAACATTTTAAATTGAAAATGAATACAACTCTTTGAATATACTTAGTACATTAAGTTTTATACTTCAGATTGGTGTATTACTTGCTATAGGATTGTATATCTCAATAAAGCTATGTAAACCTGAGAAGTTCTGAGTAGCCTATTTAGGTAACTGAAAGTTTTTTCAGTATTGTGTCTAAATGTAACTGCTTTGCTTATGTTAATGTTTTGTGACAGAAGTATGTTTAATTATTTTAAAACTTTCTCTTTGACCCACAATTTTAAATGGCTGCAGAAAACCCAAGGACCAAGTGTAAGTGCATATTACTTTCATTTTTTCAATCTTTGTATCATATTTTCAGCAATATTAAAAATTTTGGTAGCCTTTAGTTAACTATACTGAGTTTTAATATCCATGTATTATGGGGGGGACAGTAAAACTATAGCAAGAAGTATTGGCTTCTTACTTTAAGGTTATGTCTGCAAGATGATATAGTAAGAAAGTTCTAAGGCATGCTCCAGTGGCTCATATCTATAATCCTAGCTATTCAGGAGGCTGAGGTCACAGGTTTGGAGATAGCCTGGGCAGACAAATCCAAATGACTCCTATTTCTAGTTAGCCAGAAAACAAGTGAAACTGGAGGTGTGGCCCAAGTTCAAGAACCTCAGTTGAAGCCCAATACTGGCACCAAAATAAAAGGAGGAGTCAGGTGCCAGTGGCTCATTCATGCCTATAATCCTAGCTACTCAGGAAACTGAGATCTGAGGATCATGGTTCAAAGCCAGCCGGGGCAAGGAAAGTCCATGAGTCTCTTATCTCTAATTAACCACCAGAAAACCAGAAGTGGCGCTGTGGCTCAAGTGGTAGAGGGACAGTGCCCAGACCCAGAGTTCAGGCCCAGAACTGACAGTCAATCAATGAAGGAAGGAAGGCAGGGAAAGAAAAGGAAGAGAAACATTAACAGGCTGACTTAACGATTCTTTTTAAAGTACATTTACTGCTGGGTATGGTGGCTCATAGCACTCAGGAAGTAGAGATAGAAGGATCAAGAGTTAAGAGGCGGCCAGCCTGGGCTGCATAGAGAGACCATGTCTAAAAAGGAAAAAGTACATTTCCTTTACTTTTTAGTTTTTGTAAAGCACAGTAAAACATAGTATAAAAATCTGAAGATTGACTGTATTTTTCTGGTCTTTTAAAATGATAAACTAGACTAGAAATAAGTAATACAGCCACAATAAAAGCCAGGTGCCTGTGGCTCATGCCTGTAATCCTACTTACTCAGAGGCTGAGAGGTTCAAAGCCAGCACAAGCAGACAAATCTGAGAGACTTTTACCTCCAATTAACTGGCAAAAAGCTGGAACTGGAGGGAGATGTGGCTTAATTAGTGGCATGCCATACTTGACTGAAAAAGCTACATGACAGCAAGAGGCCCTGAGTCCAAAGTTCAGATACCAGTACCTGTACCAAAGGAGAGCCAGTGGGAGGGGGAGGGAGAGATACCTACAGGAAGGAAGGAAGGGAAGGAGGTAATGAGAAAGGAAGGAAGGAAGCAAAGAAAGAAAATGACAAGGGAAGCCAGAAGCTGGTGAGTCACACTTGTAATCCCAGCTACTCAGGACGCTGAGATCTGTGGGTCACCCTGGGAAGCCAGCCCAGGCAGGAAAAGTAAACACCAAGTGGGGGATAGTAGTACGGAAGAAGTCAGAGAAGTGGTTAGTTTTACTAAAATTGCTGTGGGAAATGTCTGGGAGATTTTAAGATGAGTGGCCTGATGATGGAGTTTTATTTTTGTTTTGTTTTATCTTGATACGAGGGCTTGAACTCTAGGCCAAGTGCTCTTGCTTAACTTCTTTTCACTCAAGGCCGGTAGTTTACCACTTGAGCCACTCCTTCACTTTCAGCTTTTTGCTGGCTGGTTAATTGGGGATAAGAGTCTCTTGAAGGGACTGGGAATGTGGCTTAGTGGTAGAGTGCTTGCCTAGCATGTATGAAGCCATGGGTTCAATTCCTTAGTACCACATAAATAGAAAAGGCCAGAAGTGGTGCTGTATCTCAAGTGGTAGAGTGCTAGCTTTGAGCAAAATAAGCTCAGGGACAGTGCCCAGGCCCTGAGGTCAAGCCCCAGGAAAGGCCAAAAATAAATAACTAAAAAATAAAAATTAGGGGCTGGGAAGGTGGCTCAATGGTAGAGCGCTTGCCTTGCATGCATGAGGCCCTGGGTTCAATTCCTCAGCACCACATAAGCAAAAAGAAAAAAGCCGAAGTGGTGCTGTGGCTCAAGTGGTAGAGCGCTAGCCTTGAGCTGAAGAGCTGAGGGACAGTGCCCAGGCCCAGAGTTCAGGCCCTACGACCGGACCACTAAATAAATAAATAAATAAAATGTTAAAAAAAATGTTAGGCCAGGCGCCGGTGGCTCATGCCTGTAATCCTAGCTACTCAGGAGGCTGAGTGAGATCTGAGGATCACGGTTAAAGCCAGCCCGGGCAGGAAAGTCCATGAAACTCTTATCTCCAATAAACCACTAGAAAACCAGAAGTGGTGCTGTGGCTCGAGCTGTAGAGCATTCGGCTTGAGCTGAAGAGCTGAGGGACAGCGCCTAAGCCCAGAGTTCAAGCCCCATAAACTGATCAAAAAAATAAAAAGGTTGCTGGACGCTGGTAGCAAAAACTGTAATCCTAGCTACTCAGGAAGTTGAGATCTGAGGATCACAGTTCAAAGCCAGCCCAGGCAGGAAAGTCCATGAGACTCTCTATCTCCATTTAGCCACCAGAAAACCAGAAGTAGCTCTGTGGCTCAAGTGATAGAGTGCTTGCCTTGAGCTGAAGAGAACAGGGACAGCTCCCAGGCCCAGAGTTCAAGCCACAGGACCAACCAAAGGCGGGAGGGGGGGGGGGGGGGGGGGGACCACACAAAAATGTTAGAAGCACTCTAATTCCATTCTGATCCTTTAAAAGAAATGTAGCTGTCTGCTGTAAATGTAATATTGAAACAAATTGAAACAAATACAGGTGTTAAAATGTAAATGCATGGAATAAATCATTTTCTGTTTGTTTTCTGAGGCTAGGAGATCCAGTTTAAAAAATGTGTCTGACCTTTTCGTGATGGGAGGAGCTCTTGTTTTAGAATCTGCTGCTCTCTTGCACTGGTTAGAGAGGGAAGGCTATGGCCCTCTTGGGATGACCGGCATATCCATGGGAGGACACGTAAGCCTTCTCATTACCACTTACATTTCATTATCTGAGTTAGTAAGATCTAGGGAAGAGAGTTACTTTAAAAATTCACTTTAGAGCTGGGCGCTGGTGGCTCACGCCTATTATCCTGGCTATGCAGGAGGCTGAGATTTGAGGATTGCAGTTCAAAGCCAGCCCAGGCAGGAAAGTCCGTGAACCTCTTATCTCCAATAAACCACCAGAAAACTGGAAATGTTGCTGTAGCTCAAGTGGTAGAGTGCTTGCCTTGAGCTGAAGAGCTGAGGGACAGCGCTCAGGCCCGGAGTTCAAGCCCCATGACCAACCAAAAAAAAAATTCACTTTAGTTATATTGACTAGTTTTTTTGAAAATAGGAAGCAGAAATAATTCCAACGATGAAGTAATGATACTTTTGTATGATTTATATAAACATTTATTGTGTAACCCCCCTATACCCAGTTATAGTTCAGATGTTTGGATTTAATATTTTATTAAAAAGTTATTATATAATTTTAATTTTCATGTGTCAAGTTATACTTGCCCACTTCTGCTGTTAAATTGGCTAAGGTTGCTAAATTTTAACTACCATTTAAATTATGCATTAATTGGGTTAATGGGTCTCATTTTGACATTTTCATACATGTGTAATGGTATGTATGTTTATAACACCTATTTTGCTGGTTCCTAGGGCTTATGCATGTAACCCTGCTAACTCAAGAGGAGAGATCTAACAATTGAGGTTCAAAGCCAGCCCAGGCAGGAAAAGTCTGTGAGACTCATCTCTCCAGAAAACTAGAAGTGGAGCTGTGGCTTCCAGAGTGGTAGAACACTAGCTTGAGCAAAAAGAACTCAGGACAACCCCCAAAGCCTGAGTTCAAGCCCTATCACTGACAAAAACAACCTACCTACCTATATACATATATATAATTCTATTTTACTTTTGTCTAGTACCCAGCAAAAAATAGTAGTCTTTAACTCCTATTTCCTACATTGCAATTAGGAAATACTTCTTCTTCCATTTCTCCCTACTTTACTCTGCTACACTAAAATAAATCCTTTCTGACACTTTCAATAAATTTCTATCATATTTTGTAACTTTCAAAGGAGAAATTGTTATTGTTGAATTTATGTATCATAAGGTCACAGGTATTTTCAGATTTCATGTTTATGTAGTCTCTCACCAATTGCTGTAGAAAGTACTTTTGAGTATTAAATGTTGTTCATTTGAATAATAGGAACTTCACACTGAAGCTCTCTGTTCCGTTACAGATGGCCTCCTTAGCAGTGTCCAGCTGGCCTAAGCCCATGCCATTGGTTCCTTGTCTGTCTTGGTCCACGGCCTCTGGGGTCTTCACTACGGTAATTGAGTTGCAATTAAAGTGTAAATAGCAATAAATATGTAATTAAAAATAATTGCCTTGAGAATCACCCAAAGTTGCCCTTAGGGTTGGCAATTCACTTCGAATGAATAAAAACTCAAACATATGATTTTATTTATTTATTTTGGTCAGTTGTGGGGTTTAAACTCTGGGCCTAGGCGCTGTCCCTGAACTCTTCAGCTCAAGGGCAGTGCTCTACCACTTGAACCATAGTGCCACTTCTGATTTTTCTGGTGGTTTATTGGAGATAAAGGGTCTCACAGACTTTTCCTGCCTGGGCTGGCTTTCAACTGAGATCCTCAGATCCCAGCCTCCTGAATAGCTATGATTACAGGTGTGAGCCACTGGTGCCTGTCTCATCATATATTTGTAGTTAGGATTATGTCAGAAGGATAGGACACATACATAATCAAGAAAGGGAAAACATTCTTGAAGCAAAACTTAGTAGAAAAAAGTGAAGCTGTGGCTCAAGTGGTAGAGCACCATCCTTGAGCAAAACAGCTCAGGGACGGTGCCAAGGCCCTGAGTTCAGGCTTCAAGACCAGGACGCACGCGGGCGCATAGACACAATTAAAAATTAAAAACAACCCAGTACAAGCTTCTGAGAGGTCCAGTGGAATCTCAGTTTATGCTTAATTCTTCCAGCAATAGGTTGTGAAAAATTGTGTGTTCATCGCATGAGCCTAGCATAACAAGGTTTTTAATCTGAAGTCAGTGATTTGCCTAGAATATACTAAAATTGCAGAGGAAGTATAATGTTAAGCAAAAACTACATTGCTTATACAAAGAGCACAGGCATAATGGCTCGCTTTTATCATTCAAGGAAAATTGTATGTTAAAGTAAGAACTGTTTATAAGTCAAGTTCCCAGACTGTAATAGAGGGTAAATTTTACAAGCAGGCTTTTCTGTGGATAGGCAAAATCAGTCTGTGATTAACTTTTACTTGATAATTTAAGAAAAAGTATTGTATTAAAAAATAGTATAATTTGATCCTAATTTAGTTTCTTATTTTAGGGTGTATTGAGTAAATCAATTAATTGGAGGGAGCTGGAGAAGCAGTATTATACTCAGACAGTTTATGAAGAAGAAATAATTCATATGCTTGAATACTGTGGAGTAAGTATTTTAATTTCCACATAATGTTAGGAAAACTTCATTTTCTGAATAAGTTGTTATTTTCTATGATAAGTTTTGAAGCGTTATTCTAAATTTCTCATTTTAACTAGATATGGTAGTTCATACTTGTGACCCAGCACTTAGGAGGTGGAGGCAGGAAGTATGAGTTTGAGGCCAGTGCCAGCTATATACAAAGATCCTTTCTCAAAAAACAGGAGGGGCTGGGAACATGGCTCAGTGGTAGAGTGCTTGCCTAGCATACATGAAGCCCTGGGTTCCATTCCTCAGTACCACATACACAGAAAAAGCTAGAAGTGGCGCTGTGGCTCAAGTAGTAGAGTGCCAGCCTTGAGCAAAAGAAGCTCGGGAACAGTGCCCACGGCCTGAGTCCAAGTCCAAGAACTGGCAAAAAAATATATATACATCAATATATATGCAAAAATTTATATATATATATATTTTTTTTTATTTTTGCCAGTCAGACACGGTGTTATACCTTGGTAGCAGACATCTGTAATCCCCTAACACTGGATAGGATTGCAGTTTTGAGGTTAGCCTTGGCTACTAGCAAGACCCTCTTTTAAAAGGAAAAAGAAAGGAAGTTATTTTTAAATAAATCTTATACAGAAAACATGTAACACAAATGTACGGCCTATTACATGCATCAAAATGGAAACACACTGTAACTGTTAACTAGGTCAAGAATAAAACTTGGCCATCCAACCTAGAAATAGCTATCTAGATAGACAGAACTTTCTCATCTTCCCAAACTTTAGAACAGTAGCGCCTAGTCCCTCTTTTCTCAGCCGGTGGCAACTAACCATTGTTTTCTTTTCACCTTTATTAATCTGATTACAGAGAAGGCCTTATAGAAGTGGGACAGTATGATAGTGCCGTTTTGTGTCTGGCTTATTCATGTGGCATATTGCGTTCAAGATCCATTTTATAGCATGGCAGAGATTGGGAGGATTGAAGTTTGAGACAGTCCAGGCAAAAGCTTGAACTACTGGCTGACAAGGAAGCTATATCAAAAAGGCTCATAGCATGGTTCAAGTGACACAACAGTTGCCTGGCATGCACAAGACCTTTTGTTCAAACCCACCTACCACCACCAAATTTTTTTAAAGGGGGGGGGGAATTAAAATTTTTAATTTAAAAATAAAATTTTGCTACGTACAAGTGGCTCACACCTGTAACTGTAGCTATTCAGGAGTCTGAGACCTTAGGATTGTAGTCCAAAGCCACCATTTTTCTCTAATTAACCACCAAAAGCTGGAAGTAGAACTTTGACTCAAGTGGTAGAGGACCAGCTTTGAGCTTAAAAAGCTAAGGGACAGCGCCCAAACTTTCATTACTTAAAACAGTATTCCATTGCATGAGTACAATATTATATTGTATCCACTGATGTGTTCTTAGATTTTTTTTGTTTTAAAAAAGTGAGGGGCTGGGAACGTTGCTCAGTGGTAGAGTGCTTGCCTAGCATGCATGAAGTCCTGGGTTCCATTACTCAATACCACATACACAGAAAAAGTCAGAAGTGGTGGTGTGACTCAAGTGGTAGAGTACTAGCCTTGAGCAACGAGAGGCTCAGGGACAGTGCCGAGGCCCTGAGTTCAAGCTCCAGGACTGGCAAAAAAAAAAAAAAAGAAAGAAAATTAAATGAACCTTCGGTCTATATTAATGCTTTTTTTTTTTTTTTTTTAAATACAGACAGATTCTTTCAAAATGGGACAAGAGTTTGTGAAATACTTCCCTAACGGTACAGACAAGCTAACTAACCTTAAGCTGGTTCCTAGAACTTTAAATTTAGATATGAGAAAACAAACTGTATCCCCAAAATATGTTGGATGTCATAATTCTAGTAAAACTTCCACCAGTGTTACATCAGAAGGACTCTTGATGCAAGATACCTCTAAGACAGAGTGCTTAAATCAAACACTTTCAACCAACAAAAGTTGTTATACAAGTTACAACCCTTACTCCAACCACCTGCTCAACAAAGAACAAAGAAGAAACAGTCTTCAAAGGGAATCTTTAATATTTATGAAAGGAGTCATGGATGAATGTACTCATGTAGCCAATTTTTCAGGTACTAGTTTCTATATAAAATTGATAGTATTAGCTGGTATTTATTTGTTAAGCATATTTAGGAATGTTTTACAAGGTAATTTTCATATTTCCAAAGATAAAGGGTTTTTGTGTTGTTTTTAGAATGTGTTTTTCAAAATAAATAGGTCATTTTAAATGTATCATCTTATACAATTAAGAACATCGTGTATATTCAAAAACACATTGGTAAGGTATCTTTAGTGGTTCACACCTAAAGGCTCAGCACTCCGGAGGCTGAAGCAACAGGATCTTGGATTCAAGGCCAGCCTGGACTACGTAACAAGACATACATTTATTCATTCATATATTAGAAGGGTTGGCATATGCTTCAGTGATAGAACATGTGCTTAGTATATATGAACCATTAGAATTCGGTTTCCAGCACTAATAATAGAAAATGCATTGATTATGTCTTTAGAATACGAACCTCATTGTGTTGGATGAATGTTATGATAATCACCAGTACTGGAGCTTGAACTCAGGGTGTTAACACTCTTGCTCAACTTTTTCTCTCATAGATGGTACCATTTGAGCCATACTTCCAGCCTTGGTTTTTTGCTGGTTAATAGGAGATAAAAGTCTTGAGGGTTTGCCTAGACGGGCTTTGAAACTTGATCATTAGATCTCAACCTTCTGAGTTGCTAGGAAGGATTATAGACTTGAGCCACTAACACCTGCAAGAGTTGATCTTTACTTTGATCAAAAGGGTTTTAGAAACCAGGTACCAGTGGCTCATGCCTGTAATCCTAGCTACTCAAGAAAAACCAGAAGTGGCGTTGTGGTTCAAAAAGAGTTTTAGTTTGACAGCTGTTTCACTTACTCTGTCTTGTGTGGCTTTGTTGTTTTGTTGTTGCTAAAATGACTTATGAGTTAGCACAATAATCCTAGAGCTTTTTAATGTGTCAAAAATCTTTACTTAGTTCCAGTTGACCCAAGCCTCATTATAGTGGTTCAAGCCAAAGAAGATGCCTATATTCCACGAACAGGAGTTCGAAGTCTACAAGAAATTTGGCCTGGTTGTGAAATCCGATATCTAGAAGGGGGTCATATTAGTGCATATCTTTTTAAACAAGGACTCTTCAGGTAAATTGAGATAGCTATTTATTTGTTTGGGGGCTATTTTTCACTTCAACAAATACAAAACAGTATTTTTAGTGTTTTAGTCCTTTTTCCTTTTTTCCTCTCATAAATGTCACATTGAGGTATTTTCTCTTTTGCTATCCCATCTGTTTTTTTTTTCTTCCAGAGTGCTAGGGATATAAGATATCTTAAATATCCTTTATCAAGTTGTTTTTATTATCCTCTTTAAATAAGGCTAGATATTTTAGGGTATCAGAAGGATTGTTATGATTTGTAAGATCTGTGACAAGGTTTTTGGTTTTTTTCGGGGTTTTTTTTGGTCAGTTGTGGGGCTTGAACTCTGGGTCTGAGCGCTGTCCCTCAGCTCTTCAGCTCAAGGCAAGCACTCTACCACTTGAGCCACAGCACCACTTCTGTTTTTCTGGTGGCTCATTGGAGATAAGAGTCATGGACTTTTCTGCCTGGGCTAGCTTTGAACTGCGATCCTCAGATCTCAACCTCCTGAGTAGCCAGGATTACAGGTGTGAGCCATGGTTGTGGTCTGGCGCTTAAGAGTTTTTCCAGGCACGTGAATAATTCTCTCAGAATGACTTTGGGATTTGTAAAATAACCTAGCAATGCTTTGTTACTAGCAAGTGAATATTAACTGTTAATGACTTTGGACTTACCAATTTTTTACAATTCTGGTATCCCTTGTAATTTTTATTTCTATCCAAGTTTGAACAGAAATAGTACCATTGGGCCAGGCCCTGATGGCTCACGCCTATATTCCTAGCTACTCGGGAGGCTGAGATCTGGGATTGCAGTTCAAAGCCAGCTTAGGCAAGAAAGTCTGTGAGACTCTTAGCTCCAATTAACCACTCAAAAACTGCAAGTAGAGCTGTGGCTCAAAGTGGTACAGCAATAGCCTTGAGCAAAAAAACTCAGGGACAGCGCTCAGGCCCTGAGTTCAAGCCCCACAACCAATAACAACAACAACAAAACCAGCACAAAACAGAAGACTAGCGTGGCCCCTGTGCTTGCTCCATTGAAGGGAGGGAGGGAGGGAGGGACTTGTGAAAAGTGGCATTTTGACAGTTTCTCCTTTTCCATATTTTTTTTGTTTTCTGACTACTGTAATGAAATTGCTTGTTCTTGTATTAGAAGAAATAAACTTTAAAACATGTTTTATGGAGCAATAGAACAATTTTCCTATTCCTCTTCAATTGAAATACTAAGATTCCTAGTGAAGTTAATGTAGGAAACAAAGACTTGATTTAAGTTTGGTTGCCAGTAACATATTCTTGGTAATCAAAAAACGTGTTATACCCTGTCAAATAAATTTCAGATTCTGAAAAGTTATGTAATTGATTTTCAACAATGATAAAAATATTACATCTGTTTATATATAAAGTCACAAAAAGTGCTTCATAAAAAGATGCTCCTGGAGCTATTATCTCTTGGAACTGCCAGTAGTGTGGTAAAGTTACCTGGATCCATACACCACTCAGGTACTTGACGCTCTTATAGCTGTTTATAGAGAGGAGCACAGATTGTAGACCATAGATAATTTTAGAAATACAGTGGAAATACTGTTGGGCCCACTATGTTTTCTAATTATCTGGGTTTTGTTTTTTCATTTTAGACAAGCCATCTATGACGCATTTGAACGCTTCCTCCATAAGTATGCTAACTAATTGGATCATTCTATTGTAAAACAGTACAGCCATCAAGGTTTCTTACAGAAGGAGTTTTTCATCCAGTGATGATAAGAACATGCAGATAATACTAGTAATATAACAAGTTAGTATGGAATTCAGTGTTACAGATCAGTCTATTATAAACTTTAAATATATTTCGGTAATTTAAAAGAATATTTCAATTACATGTTAAAATATTTTGTTATTTTGAGAATCCCATGTATTCATTCTTTTCTCTTGTTACTGTTTATGAAAACTTAAATTTTTAATTATGAACAATTTATGAAAAATAAATTTATTCATAGGAACAACATTGATTTGTAAAGGAATTGCTAAAACAAGTAAGACTGTAATATGTAGCCTGTACTGTGACATTTTGCTATTCACTTGATTTGAGAATTGTGTTTCCTTTCTAGGCATATGGCAAGTTTATAATCTAGGGTTTGGGGGGGCGGGGGGTTAGCTTTAGCTTTTTTTCCATAGAAATTTTTATGGTATGTAAAATTGGAAGTCTTAACAACTACTGATTTTTTTAGGTAATTGCTTTTAATAATAAAAATGAATGCTGAAATACATATAAGATTACTTAGAATGGGCTAGACTTCACATTTTTATTAGAGACTGGTTTAGAGAGAAACTAGGAAGCTAAGGATTTAGCTCATTAGAGTGCTTACCTAGCTGTCTGAAGTTAGCATTGTCCAAAGAGAGAGAGAGAAAAGCCAAACATTTCCTCAAGTTTTGGGGCTGGGAAGGTGGCTCAGTGGTAGAGTGCTTGCCTTGCATGCATGAGGCCCTGGATTCCATTCCTCAGCACCACATAAACAGAAAAAGCCAGAAGTGGCACTGTGGCTCAAGTGGTAGAATGCTAGCCTTGAGCTGAAGAGCTGAAGGACCGTGCCCAGGCCCAGGCCCAGGCCCAGAGTTCAAGCCCCACAACCTACAAAAAAAAAGTTTCAAGTTTTGAAAGATGGAAATAATGATCTTTATATTAATTGATGGATTCTGTGTTTAAATTTTTTGTACATTTTTTCTCTTCTATTTTTCTAAACATCTGATTTTAGTTCATATACTTCACAACTTTAGCTTGTTAAAGTAAGAGTTGAATAGCTATAAAGGAAATTGATTTCTCCCATATAAACTTTAGAGACTTAAAAAGTTTTATATATGAACTACTCACTCTTAAATGTGATATTATATGACTAGATTTGGTGCTTTATGTTAAACTTCTTTAACTGAAAGTTAAAATGCTAAAGAAAGAAGAAAATATTTTGGAGTATCATGTGGTTTGGAGTAAGTGTATTTGAATTTTGTTTGAAATCTGTGTTGTCCATGAATTGTGTAAAAGTAGTCTAGTAAAGCTATGTGATTATGTGCCTTTCCAGCCTTTTTAAAGATTTTGTCATTCTAATAGCTCTTTCATAACTATCAAAAATTAATAGGAACTTATTAATGGCAGACAAACTAGTAACTTCTTTGGAACTGCTTTTACATATCAAGGTACAGCTATTAGAAACTATACCTTGTGTGTGTGTGTGTGTCTGTCTGTCTGTCTGTCTATCTGTCTTTGTATGCCAGTCCTGGGCTTGAACTTGAGGCCTAGGTATATCTTAGTCTACCCCCCCCCACACACACCCCACACACATACATTACATCCTGAAGGCTGGTGCTCTACCACTTGAGCCACAGTTCCACTTCTGGCTTTCTTGATAGTTAGGGATAAGGGGTCTCTGAACTTCCCTGCCTGGTAGTTAACTGGAGATGAGAGTCAAGGACTTTCCTGTCAGGGCTGGCTTTGACTCTAAATCCTCAGATCTCAACCTCCTTAATGGTTAGGATTACAGGCACTAGCCATTGGTGCTCAGCTACATTTCATCTTTTAACCAGATGTTTTAAGAATATATAGAAAACAGCATACCTTGTCTCAGAGCTTTAACCTATTCCCCTTATATATAGCTTAAGTAATCTTACATACACACAGAAGCGCCAGCTGCCACCTTCCTTCGATTTTAAGGATTAGATACAAAAAATCTTAAAATTCATTTAGACAAGAATTATAAACTGGTAAGTCACACTAATGAGTTACCACTTGAGCTACACTTCCAGCCAACTTTTATTCATTAATTGGAGATGAATTCTTACGGACTTTTTTCTGTCTGACGTAAGTTTGAACTGTAATCCTCTAGATCTCAGCCTTTTGAGGTGCCAGGCTCACACAAGCCAGTTTGCCCACAATTTTATTTGGGGTAGATGTTTCAATTAGAAAATTCTTTAGTTTGAGTATGCCATTCCCAGGTTTGCCACTGCTTCTCTACTTTGTATTTCCTACCCAGCCCTGAAATTACATCTAAATTTGAGACCTCTCATATTGGTCAGTGGTTAGAAAGTTTCTGAATTTTTAACTTGTTAATAGTTTTTATTAAAATATTTTGGCATATGCATTTTAGATTGTGTCTTATAAAAATATCTTTTTAAGGTGGTGCTTCCTTTTACAAAGATTGTTAAATTATCCATGTATATTTTTTAAAATTCCAAATATTTTATTTAATAAAGGTCTTCAAAAGCTGATTATTTCAAGTGGTATTATTCACATAAGGATAAATGTCACATTTGACTAATATACAGACACTGAGCATATGTGTTTCTCAGCTGTTTTTCAATTTCTATTTTTTTATTATTATAAAGGTGATATACAGAGGGATTACATGAGTCAGGTAACAAGTAAACTTCTTTTTGGACAGTGACACCCTCTCCTCTGTTACCTTCACAGTAAGGCAGAAATAAGTGAGGGAAGCTCTAATACAATGGTATTCTTTTTTTTTGTTGTTGGTCGTGGGGCCTGAACTCGGCCTGGGTGCTGTCCCTCAGTTCTTCAGCTCAAGGGTACCACTTAACCACTTGAGCCACAGCACCACTTCGAGCTTTTTCTGCTTATGTGGTGCTGAGGAATCAAACCCAGGGCCTCATGCATGAGAGGCAAGCACTCTACCATGGAGCCCCCTTCTCAGCCCCTAGTATTCATATTTCTATAGCCATTTTTTCCTTGAAATGTATGTGATCTGAGAACAACAAGCAATCTGACAAACCTAGTTATATGAATGCTAATTCAATTTTGGATATGATTACATTTATCTGATACATTTATACTTCAAACAAAACCAGGAGGTACCAACCTAGGGACTCACTTGGGATGAGAATGCTGCCGTGAGAGCTGGGTTTGGTAATGTAGAGAAGAGTATGGCCAGTAATTGTGGCAAGTACATTTTGTCCATTTTGCAGTAGGACACCTGATTCTAGGAATGTTCTTAGCCAGATCCTAGAAAACGGTTTTTGTGTGAAGGATTATGAAAACAAACTAGAACATTTGAACCAAAATCAGCAGAAATTCCTTTCATTACTAAAAGCTGATTAATAAGTGGCCTCAGGAAAAGAAAACGTAGTCATATAAACGTAAAAGTATATAAGCTTGTGTATAAGCTTCTATGTAGTACCTGCATAAATCCACAAAGAAAACGTTGCTACTCAACATATGATCTGTAGATTAGCACACTTTTGGGAGCTGAGAAACTTAGATCTTTTCATAAAGTTAGAATTTGTGATTGCCAAATGCTTCAAATAAATAGGAAGTTTCCAAAATCAGGAACTTGGTCTGCATAATTCCTTGGAGTCTTAAAAAAAAAAAAAAAAAGCCAATTTGGGGAGCCAGCCACCAGAGTTTCCAATCTATGAAGTGGGGAAATTGCATTCCTAGGGTACAAGTATTGTTTTATCTAGGAACCCCACTACATCCAGTTTCAAGGGAATCTCAACACGGGCTACAATTAGAATCACATTCAGATTCTGTTGGTTAGAGGTAGTTTTAACTCTAATGTGCAAGAAGAACGAACCCTGGTATCTTGCATGGTGGCACATACATACCTGTAATCCCACTGTTGGGAGGAGACACGGCAACCTAGACTACATAATGAGAAAGGTGGGGGTGGGGGGGAAGGATGGGTAAAAAGAACTTGACTCAAAACAGGAACAGCTGCTGAAGGAAAAAATGAAAAGGTGTAGTCACAGTCAACATAGTTTTTAAGTTTCCGAGTGTTATCAGTACCCAAGAGGAAATGCTAAAAGGACTTGTATTTGTTTTTTTTTCCTTTTTCTTTCTTTTTTTTTTTTTTGTTTGTTTTTTTGGGGTCCAGTCATGGGGCCTGAACTCTGGGTCTGGGCGCTGTCCCTCAGCTCTTCAACTCAAGGCTAGCGCTCTACCACTTGAGCCACAGCGCCACTTCCGGCTTTTTTCTTTTTGCTTTTGTGGTGCTGAGGAATCGAACCCAGGGCCTCATGCATGCAAGGCAAGCGCTCTACCACTGAGCCATCTTCCCAGCCCTGTATTTGTTTTTTTTCTTAAATTAACATTATTGTTAACTTTATTGAGGTTACACGTAAATACACTACTCAGTTTGTAAGTATATTTCCTTTTTTTATTTTTTTGGTCCATCCTGGGTCTTGAACTCTGGGTCTGGCCTCTGTGGCTGTGCTATTCAGCTCAAGGCTAGTGCTCTACCACTTGAGCCACAGCACTACTGCTTTTCTAGTGGTTTATTGGAGATAAAAGTCTCACAGAGTTTCCTGCCCGGGCTGGCTTTGAACTGTGATCCTCAGATCTCAGCCTCCTGAGTAGCCAGGATGACAGGCATGAGCCACTGGCTCCCGGTATCCTTTTTTTTTTTTAATCTTTTTTTTTTTTTTGCTGTTGTTGGGGCTTGAACTCAGGGGCTGGTGCTGTTCTTCAGCTCTTCAGCTCAAGGCTAGCACTCTGCCACTTGAGCCAAAGCGCCACTTTTGGTTTTCTAGTGTTAACTGGCGATAAGAGTCGCATGGACTTTCCTGCCTGGGCTGGCGTTGAACCGTGATCCTCAGATCTCAGCCTCCTGAGTAGCTCGGATGACAGGCCTGAGCCCCCGACACCCAGCTTCATTTCCTTTTGTACAGTGTCACCTGGCCCCTCATTCTCTCCCATTCCCTCCTTCCTATCTCCACCTACCAGTTCACTTCCATCAGCGTCCAGTGTGCTCCACTGCTGTCCTTTTCACCTTTTCTCCTTCGGTTTTGTTGGGATCCATGAGTGAGAAACAAATGAGCAGGAGATGAACACCGTCCGCTCCTCTCCCACCCCTTCCAGTCTCCCACTCTTCTTCCCTCTCTCTGACCTAAGTGTAGCCCCTCTGTGCATCACTTTGTAGGAACGGTGGGGGTCTTCGTGAAACTAGAGCGCGGGCTTCCTCTCCCCGTCTCCCGCGGATGCCTGGCCCTGCGGGGACGCAGGGGTGAGGTGGGAGAGCGGCTGGGCCGGGGTTCTCAGGTCTGAGGCCCGGCCCCGGGTTCCCAGCCGGCCCGGCCGGGAAAGCCCGGAGACTGATCTCCCCGGAACCACCAGACGCCGGGGCGCCCGGCCGAGTTCGAGCCCCGCCGCCGGCCAAGCAGGGAGCCGGCAGGCCGGGCGCGTCCCGGCCGGGCGCGCGGAGCGCGGCAGCGGCGTCTCGGGTCGCGGTGCTCCTGGCGTCCGGCGGCTGCCCGGACATCAGGGTCCCGGGCTTTCCCGGCCGGGCTGGCTGGGAACCGGGGTCCGGGCCTCAGCCCCCGAGGAGCTGGGGGCCGGGCGAGCCCGGGGCCCGCGGCGCCGCGGCCTCGTGCGGGGCGCGGCGGGCTCGGCCGGGCGCGCGGCCCGGGGCGGCCGTTACCTGGGCCGGCGCGCGGCCGCGGCCGCCGTGGGCTGAGGCGGGGCGCCGGCGCTACCGGGGTCCCGGGGCGGACCGCGGCGTGGGCCGCGAGGCTGAAGCCGGGCGTCAGCCGGGGGTCCGCCAGGGCCGCTCGACCGCGGCCGGAGAGCGGGGTGAGAGAGGGCGCCGCCGACCCCGGCGCGGGTCTGCGGGGCGCGGGGCGCGGGGCCGGCGCCGCGGGAGCCTGCACGCGGCAGAGTTTCGGGCGCAGGAGCCCCAGGGCCGCGCCGGGCGGCGGCTTAGCCCGACCCGCCGCCCGGGGCGCCGGGCCGAGCAGCCCCGGGCCCGCCGCGGGAGCCCGGCCTGAGGTGCCGCGAGTCCCAGGGGCCGGGTGCGGGCCCCCACCGGGCGCCCGCGGGAGGCCGACGCCGGCGAGCCCGCGGGCCGCCCGGCTCGCCCCCGCTCGCCCTCGCCTCGGCCTCGGCCGGCCCCGGGGGCGGGGCGTGGGGCGGGGCGAGAGCGGCAGCCGGTGAGTGGCCACGTCAGTCTCCGTAGAGCCCCGCCCCCCGCGCGCCCCGCCCCCGAGCGTTACCGGCTCGGGCGCTCGAGCGCCGACTGGGTCTGAGGCGCGCCGTCCCGCTCCGGCGCTCCGCCGCTCCGGCCGCTGTCCGCGCGGGCTGGGGCTCGAGGCTCCGGGCGGCCCGGCGCGTGTCGGCGGGCTCCGGCCGTGCGCTGCCGCGGAGGGCTGGGCCGGCGGGCGGTTAGTGCTCCGTTCGTCGCGGGGAGGGCGGCACGCCGGGCGCTGCACTGCCTCGGCGGGCGGCGGCCGGGCTCCCGGGGTCTGCGTCCCAGGCCCGAGTCAGTCGCTGCCCCCGTGGGGAGACGGGCGGCCGGGCTCCCTGGTCCCGGGCCCTCCCCGGCTGGGGAGGCTGGGGCAAGGGAACCATGTCCGCTCGCGCCCCGGTGCCCGCCGCTCGCCCTCGGGAGGACCCGCCCGCGGCGGCGGCGGAGCGGGCGTCGCTGCTGGCGGCCGGCCGGCCGGCGGAGCCGCCGCCGGAGCGGGAGCGCAAGGAGGCCGTGAGGGAGGAGAGGGCCGCGGCGGCCACCAGCGCGGGGGCGCGCGGGGAGCCGTCGCCCGCGCCGGTGCGGGGCCACAGCGTGCCCCAGGCGGCCGTGCCCGTGCGGCCGCTGGCGCTGCACCTGGCGCACAAGGCGCGCGGCCCCGGGGGCGCCTTCGGCGGGGAGCCGCCGGCCGAGGACGCCCGGGAGCCGCCGGCCGCCGCGGGCCCCGAGGAGAAGCCGCCGCCGCCGCCGCCGCCGCCGAAGGAGAACCCGTGGACCAGGAAGCCTCCGCGACACCTGTCCCCGGGCGGGGCGGGCCCGCGGCTGTCCCCGCTGGAGACCCTGGAGGCAGGTCGGTGCTGCGCCGCGGCGGGCGGGCGGGCGGGCGGGCCGGGGCCGCGCCGCGGGGAGTGCAGGCCCGGCGCCCGCGGGCCCCGCTCCCCACCGCCCGGGGGCCGGGCTCTCCGTGTCGGCGCCGCCGAGGACGCGGACCTCGCGGAGGCAGCGACGGAAGGGGCGGGGCCTCGGGGTCCCCGGGACCGCGGGGCGCCGGGGTAGCCGGGCCGGCGGCCCCCACGTGTCGGCGCCTCGGTCGGGCCGCGCGCCCCGGGCACCGACCCGAAGGCCGACGCCAGTCCGGAGCCGGGGTCGTTTGTCCGGGAAGCACGTCGGTGTTCAAGGGGCGCGGAAGCCGAAAGTGCCGTGCCGCGGAGTCGCTGCAGGCGAGCTCCGAGCGGCCGTGGCGGCCGGAAAACGCGGGAGGCAGGGTGGCGGAGCGCCGGGCGCGGAAGGCCCGCGCGAGCCCCGCGGCCCGGGCCGCCGCGGAGGTGGTGCGCGCAGTCGGGAAAGGAAGACGGTGGAGCCGGGCGCCGAGGTGAAGGCTGCGGACCGGCAGCCGGGAGCTGCCTCGGACCAGCAGACAGGTTCAAGTGGAAAGGGCCGTGTGAATCAGTTTGGCTTTCTAAATTGGGCTGAAGCACGCTAAAGTCTTCAAAGTTCTCTCGACCTTTAATATTGATGGAATTTCTTGTAACTGCTTATGTCTATTGGTAACTGAATAGAAAAATGTTAAGCAATGTTCTTAAAATTTAGAAAGCCCAGCAAGTCACTTCATTGGCTGTCTCACTTCTAGATTTATACACAATATAATATATATAGTATTTCATGCACTACCAAGAGACATGAAGTCTTTGTAGGCAATAAAAGCAGTTTTGAATGTTTTAAATTTTTATTTATTTTTGTGCCCATTCTGGGGCTTGAACGCCAAACCTGGGTGCTGTCAGGAACTCTTTCACTCAAGGCTAGCACTTTGCCACTTCGCTCCGCCTTCAGCTTTTTTGGGGGTGCTTAATTGGAGATTAGAGTCTCAGACTTTCCTTCCAGGGCTGCCTTTAAACTATCATCCTTAGATCTCAGCTTCCTGAGTAGCTAGGATTGCAAGCGTGAAGCACACAGCACCAGTTTTATCTTTTAAAACTTTAAAAACCTTGTGAGTTATTTAACTGCAGAGGATGAAGCCAGAGCCTTGCATGAATCTGCTAGAGAAGCACTCTACCACCAAACTCAGCCTTGAGACTAGGGAATTTTTCCCCCTGAGCTAAGGACTGAACTCAGGGCCTTGCACTTGCCAGTGCTTTTCCACTGAGCTAAACTCCAGGAATCTCCCCCCTTCCCCCCCACACCCACCTAGACACCATCACTGAGTTTTTTGCTCAAGGCTAGCACTCCACCCCTTTGAGCCACAGCTCCACATCTGGGTTTGTGGTTGTTGGTTTTTTGGTTTTTTTTTGAGTAGTTTATTGGAGATGGACTTTCCTGCCCCAGCTGGCTTTGAACCAGGATGCTCAGATCTCAGCCTCCTGAGTAGCTAGGATGACAGGGGTGAGCCACCAGTGGCTGGGTGAAATTCAGGAATTTTAATTGCCAATTACTTCAAAAACTGTGTTTATATGATATTAATATTTATTGATCCCTTTGTTCTCTAGTCTATTTGAAGGTTAAGAACAAGTTGATACTTCATAAGGCATAGATACACCTGAAATCCCAGCACACAGAGATCAGGAGTAATCAGAGCCCATCTTGAACTAGTGAAATACTGCCTCAACTCCCTCAGCTCCTCCCCTTCCTAACCCAGACCCTGCACTGCTTTCCCACAACGTTTAGCATTTAAGTAACTCAGGTAACTTAGATAAGAGATTGTAGTGTGGAAATGCGCTGCTTGAGAACTGGGTTTTAGTACTGGTATTACTAACTAGCTAGGTGACTTTTGCTAAGATTTCTGGATCTGAATTCTCTTTCCCAGTAACTGGGATTATAGGTATGAGCCACTATGCCCAGCTCTTCACATCAGAGAGCCATCTACATCCAGTCAGCCTGCTTTGGCTTCTTATTTTCTGAAGTAAATTTTTGCCACTTCAAGAATAAATGTATAGAGGCTGGGAAGGTGGCTCAGTAGTAGAGCGCTTGCCTTGCATGCATGAGGCCCTGGGTTCGATTCCTCAGCACCACATAAGCAAAAAGAAAAAAGCCGGAAGTGGCGCTGTGGCTCAAGTGGTAGAGTGCTAGCCTTGAGCTGAAGAGCTGAGGGACAGCGCCCAGGCCCAGAGTTCAGGCCCCACAACTGGATCCCCCCCAAAAAGAATAAATGTATAGTGCCGTGTACCTGTACCACCGGTACTCCAGAAGGTTGAGGTCCGAGAATCATTTAAACCAAGGTGAGACCTTCTAAGTAGCAAAATAAAGGGGAAAAAATAATGATTTGAGTATGTAGATCCAGACATTATTTAGGTCAAATGAGGGTAAAAATTAAGGATTGTTAAGTTAGCATTCTAGGATACCTGTAGAATTCATTCTACAAAATAGGTTATTCTTAGAGAAGGAAGGATATTAACTCTCCTATAATAGCAGACTTAAACCAGTTCTATTCTGGCTAAATTTAGGTTTACTGATAAATCTTATTAATGAGGTAAAAGAATTCAATCCACAGAAGTTTGGCAAAAGGGTTATTTTAAGTATTATAGAAACATTATGGGAAGCATGAAGGAATTTAGTACATGAATCATGTATTATCTCTACTTTAGAACCTGGAGCTGTATAATTGAGATAGATTCTTGGTGCCTCATTATTGTGAGATACATTTTTTTTTTTTGGATCGGTCCTGGGGCAAACTCTGGGCCTGGGCTCTGTCCCTCAGCTCTTCAGCTCAAGACTGGTGTTCTGTTCCTTGAGCCACAGCACCACTTTCGGCCTTTTCTATTTATGTGGTGCTGAGTGGATTGAACCCTGGGGCCGGGCCTTATGCATGCAAGGCAAGCAC